AATAGTTTCTGGAGGAACCTTTAAGAAATAGTTTCTGGAGGAACCTTTAATAAATAGTTTCTGAGGGAACCTTTAATAAATAGTTTCTGAGGAATGTTTAATAAAGAGTTTCTGAGGGAACCTTTAAGAAATAGTTTCTGGAGGAACCTTTAATAAAGAGTTTCTGGAGGAACCTTTATTAAAGAGTTTCTGGAGGTAACCCTTTACCACATTAGTGTATCTGAATGAAAATGTGTTCTACGGGTTCCCATAAGTCTCTCCCTTACAGAGGAATGCTAATCACATGCAGTTTTTTTGGTATGAATGTGTTTTTTCTGTTGCATTAGGGTCCATAAACTGGAATTCCATAAACTGGGAATAACTGAGACACTCTCACTGACTCACCAACAGATTGAGCAACAACATCTATGGGAAGCTGACATCACACTTAAAATAAATTGTCACTTACATAAAATAGTTGGAAACACCCTCAGGAAGAAAGTCAGGCGGCACATGAGGTCAGTTCAGTGTGATTACCTCTCCTCTTGTTCCTTTTTTAACCCATTTGTTGAGTTTTGAGACGGATATCTTTAATTAGATAAAATGAAAAATGTCTTTTATCAATGGTCAAAGTCAGTTCATAAATATCAAATACTTGTTTGTGCTCTGTGTAGTTTCTGAGATACAGACACATTTCTATTATACTATATGAATAAACGGGGTCCTATATGTATTCCATATCAATAACATTTATTAGTTGGAACATATTCGGCTTATCCAGGACATTTTCTACCATTGTAGAAACTAACCCAGTATAGATGTTAAAGGAAGGAGGAATCTGTTAATGTTAATGCGTCTCACACACACACACACACACTGTATAATAAACAGTGCATAGTGTCGGTGATGTCCCCCATAAGTCAATGCTGTAGATACAGGACATAGGTCAGCAATTTAAAGTGGTATTATTATGAAGGTTACAGTGACCTCAGAGAGAACAGATGAGTCCAGGTGAGTCACTGTGTGCATTATCTTAGTGTGATATTAACTAATAATTATTAAGTATGCTAATTGTCTAACATACGGGTGCAAAGGTTATAATAATAATAATAAGGAGTGTAAATGTGACCCAGACTGAACCTTTCTAACTCATCAGTTTCAAGTCTATGTAGGCGTTCTTGGCAGGGATCTAAAATAAAAGTTTTCCATGACAGCATACAGTAGATTGTTTCAAGGATATATGGTAATTTTATCAAATTAAATTCCAGGATTTTCCACGCCTGGAAACTAAACAACCAGTTTTCCAGGACAGTCGGGAGCTAATGAGTGCTGATGATCTCTGCTGATAATCTCTTAACTATTTATGGCTCTGCTAGTTGTTTTCTCACTTTCTCTGCAACTCTTTTTACTTCCTGCAGCTAAACTTTCGAGTGTTGACACACTTCCACACTCACAATGATCACAATCTCAAACACTAAAACCTGATCCTGGACCTGTAGGAACCTGCCCCCTGTTGGCCCAGATTCTGGACTTGTAGGAACCTTCCCCCTGTTGGCCCAGATCCTGGACCTGTAGGAACCTGCTGCCACCTACACAGAGCTGTATTGTTTTAACACTTTAGTTCTCACAGTGAGTCAGTGACGCACCATGTTGAAGCATGACGACGAAGGTGACGATGATGTAACTTTATCCTTCTGATGTGGTTCAATGGACCGGTAATAATAATCACATGATAGTAATAATAATAATATGCTGTGTGTGATCAGAAAAAAACAGATAAAAAGCAAGAAAGATAAAAAGCAAGAAAAGGTTAGTTAGGTTAGTGGAAAATATTTATAAATATATATAAATATATATATATTTATAGAGAGAGAGATTGCACACATTCAGCTGCCGCACACAAATACATGTGGAGCATTTCCTTCCAGATGCTTTAAGATAAAGCTTATATTATATATAAAGGCTTTAAGAAGAGATAGACTTTACTGATCCACACTGGAAAAACAGAGACTGAGGCATCCTCTACACCTCTGTGTATGCAAACTGAACTCAACACTTTTGTTTTCATTTAAATTGTGAGAGGAACCGGTCTAGTATCATTCTTAGTTCTAGGGTACCTGCATTTGGGAACAGAGACTACGACAGCATCCTTCCAGACCACAGCTACCTGCTGTGGACTAATAGGACTCAGTTCAGGTCCCTGACTCTGATTTACCCTCACAGCATCCTTCTGGCCTGTCAAAGGCCTGATTGTTTCAGTTTGTGACTCAGTTCCTGAATTTCATGAATAAAATCAAAAATATCAAAGTGAGTATAGAAACTGAAGTTAATTAGCAAACTCTTAGTGGGAGGTTCTGGAGGCCTGCTATCGTTTTCATGCTAGACCGAGCCGAGCCGAGCCGAGCCGAGATTATTTGCTGCCATTTGTTCTCTACTTCAGATTTATAGTTTTGTTCTGTCTTTCGTTGTTTGTCTCCAGGTCTTTGCTGGATGAAGTTCATCAGTCCTTCTGTCCAAACCTTTATGTTTCTCTCTGAAGACATAAAGACAATTAGAGAGAGACAGCGTGTTTGAACAGTGATTATTTTATAGAACTAAAGTAAATGTATAAGTTTCCACACGTGTGAACAAACAATGACATGACCTGAAGAAACAGGTTGTACGTGACAGATGAAGGGTTACACACACATACACACATGCACAGTCATGCACTCACACACACACACACACACACACACACTGACTCAGTGAGCTGTTGCATAATGTTCTCACAATAGTGAATGACTGAACCTTTCTGCTGATGGGTGAATTACAGAACCAGACAGTAACAGCCAGGTGGACTAACGCACTCACTCAGAAACGTGGTCCGCCAGAGGAGCTGTAGATCTATGAACCCGACCCGGGTCCACTAGAGTGCCGCAGTTATACAGCCAGTAACAGACTCCGCTGTGCAGCACAGACACTCTGCAGTCAGTCATCTCTGAACGAATGCATCAACTCTTCTTCTACCCTCACAGATCAGAACCAACCATTTTAATTTTTGTTTGTTTTGCAGAAGTTTTGTGATTTGGACAGAAGACGACAGCAGGAGGCGTATTTATAGCCATTTATTGTAGTGATCAGTCAGGACCTGGCGTACGCCTGCTTTTATACATGAGGACCTGGTCTGTTGTGATCTGGTTACTGTGCTCTCTGGTCCAGGACCAGTCCACTAACCACAATCCTGTAACAGTCGTATACCCGCTCTTCTTACTCTCACTTTCTCAATCTGATTGAGGAACTATTTCGGTTTGATGTTAGAAAGTATCTGACCTCCGACCACAACCCGACTAGCTCAGAGACACTGAGGAGGACACTGGTTGTGATACCAGAAGATCCCTTACAACCACAGTCTACAGTAATGTATTGATCTGACTATGGTGGTTGATGTTTTACTGTGGTCTTGTGTGTTTTACATGTTGACTCTCAGTAATTTAAATGTTTCAGTCTAAAGTCGAATCAGAGTTTGTCAGTAGGTTTTACAGGTAATGTAATAAATATAATAAATATAATAAATATAATAAATATAATAAATATAATAAATATAATAAATGTGTTGGTACTTCAGTGTGTTTGGTTACAGAGGTTGCGATACTCCAGTCATCAGTCTGTCAGATATGAGGAGGTGTATTCTGGGAAATCCCAGATTCCAGGGAAAGTCCAGTGTTTGTGACGGCCAGCTCCAGACGGTCAGAACGGCTTCTGATTGGATGACTCACACAACAGGCCGCTTAGGAATGTGTGTGCGTAACATCCTCTGTTTCCTGTGGATTTCTGGGAAACTTCAGACTGTTTTTTATAGATATTGTTTATATTATTAGTATTATCGATATATTGATAGATATTATTGGCATGTTATTATATTATAACGCAGTGAATGTACACAGAGTGAGGAATATAAGCAGAAACACTGCACGTTGACTGCTTATGTTCCTGTGGGAGTGAAATCTAACTGCTTCCTGTTTGTTAGCAGACAGCTCCACCTGCAGGTCACTGACTGTTACTACAGTACTACTGTACTACTATACTACTGTACTACAGCTGTAATAGTGTAATAGTATTATACTACTGCAATACAACTGCACAGGGATAGGGGGTAAAGAGGAAGAGAGGAGGAAGAGGAGA